AAGTGGCCGCGGTTTGAGTCTTTGCTGCTGCTGAAGCCGCTCTCCCGCGGAGCGCCAGCCCTCGGGAAGACGGGTTCGGCACGACCGTGCTAAAGCCGTCGTTCAAGAACTCCCTCGCAATGTTGGGGGCACCGAAAAGAAACGTTCAGGTTCTTGTGACTCCTTCATTTTACTGGTGTGTCTGAGAAAACAGCTTTCCCATCCCCGTTCTGTCGACTGGTAAACCCGTGATTTGAAACAAATGGAATACGTTCTCCTGCGGAACTGGATTTCTCCTTCCTCTTCTGCCACACGTGCCAGCATGGCACAGCAAAAGCACTAAAACAGCCTCAGGCTGATATTTTCACTCTTCGTGTTGAATTCACGGTGTAACTGACTGAGACGCAGAATTCTCAAAGCGTCTTTGTTACGTATCGTCATTGTTTTCTTCTAAGAAAGTGGCCCGAAGAAGGCTTTGAGTGCCGGCAGCGATGGCAGATTTAACTCATTTATTTACCTTTTTGCCTCTATTTTTGCATCACAGTTGCTCAAGTGGGTACTTTCTCCTGCTGTAATCAAAGGTGGTTGAGCAGTAGATACTCAGTCGTGTATTAATATGATTATCTACTGCTAGTAGATACTAGCAGTTATAAATTAATATGATTAGGATGAAGCTGGAAACACAGAAGTACCTTCATTCTCTGCATTATTCCAGTTTCTTCAAAATAATCACTGTGTAGCCCTTGCTCTTACATCTCTTAACAGTTGCAGTCAAAACAGATGCCCTTCTCCAATAAAAGTCTGTCCTCCTCACTAGACGAATGAAATATCTTTACTTATAAAGTTCATTTTTGTAAATGTCTCTAGAAAAAAGGCAACATAATTAATGGGATATGTTTTTATTAGGCAAATGATGCTGTTTTATTAGGCAAATGATGTCAACTGTATTGCTGCAGAGCATTCTGACAGTTTGTCTGAATTATTTGTGTGCCTGGACTTTAAGCTCTTTGGGCAGGAACGATTCTCTCAGCGTAAGATATCTTAATAATCATAATAAAAAACCCTAAAAAATCCACTTCTGTCTCTGCAGAAAAAATGTTGAGAAGTCTGAAAGGACTCGTCTGCCATCCTCGAAAGGTAAGTCCTGTAACAGTGTGATGCTGCCTCTAATATTTCAGCTCTCCTGTGACCTGGAATGACAGTTTACAGCTATAAAAAGTGAGATTCTTCTTACATTCGTCATCGAGAAACCTGGTGTCTCCTGCAGGCTGGTTGTGTAAACTCCCCTTATGGGCAAAGGAAGGAGGGACCACTTGTGTGTGTTACTCCTCCTGCGATTGATTCTGCTGGCTGGAGAGAGAGCAGGCAAGCACGCCTGGGTATTGGCTTAGCCAAGACATGAGTTAGGAGACTAAAGTTGAGCTTTCTGAAACGTCCAGAGCGCTGAAATTCTACACCTTCCATGCCAGTGTTTCTCAGAAAGCAGAGAATCTACTTGCTCTGCACTGCTGGGAAGTACAAAGGAAGAAGCCCTTCGTACAGAACAGAACCGCCAGCCCTTCGCAGTGTCTGTGTTGCTGGTGGGAAGATGATCTTGCCAAAGATGGCTCAGTGCTTCAGGGGGGTGTAGTAACATTAGCTTTGTCGCAGCATCGCTGTGTTATCAGTTAAGCTTCCTTGTATTACAATAGCAGAATGAATTACTGTTGCATATCTGGAATGACTCCCTAACGGTAACGAATTCCAGTTGTTCTGTTTGCTGTTGTCCCTTCAACGCCTTCTCACTGGCACACAGAGATGTGCAGCCCTGACAGAGGACGGCTGCACAAGTACTTGTTTGCAGAGGTGAGGTTCTGGGTGCACAGTACTGGACTTGCCATGGCAGCCTGTACGAAGCAAACAGTCTTTCCTGGACTCGGATATGTGGAATCGTGTAGGAACAGCTCCACCTTATGGCACATGATTTGTGATTAATCTCCATGTACCACGTGATGGTTTGCTGCCATTTCAGGGATCTGAGTTAGATTACTCTGTCCTTTGGCAGATGGAAACTTACTATAAAATCCACTCTGCACTACAAGCATCAACTGTGCTAAAAGATGATGTGAGAACGTGAGAACCTTATGTACGTGTTAGGATTTCCTACGCTGAGCTCTACGGTGAGCCAGAAAGGTATATGTGTGTGTTTCTGGCATCCTGTGTGAAGCCAAGGGGAGCATGATAAGCCACTGCCTTCCGATCAGGAGGAGGGACCCAGTGGCATGTTGCTGCTACGAAGTCAGAATATACACTGCAGTAGCAGCGGTGTTCTAGGTCACCCGGGGGTATTCTTGTAGCCTGTTAAAAATGCAGATGCACTTGTGCCTGGATTTTGTAAATTCTTGAAAAAAGAAACATAGTCATTCACAAACGCTGTCTCTCAAATTCAGGATAACAGTAGTGGTGTATTCACTGCTCCAGGAGCTTGCCTCCATTTTGGAGCACTGCAAAGAGTTAGGAAGGATTTCATGTCTCCAGGTACTTAGAAGCTGCTCCTACAGCCCAGTGCAAGCTCCAGACCAAAAAGGAAGGCTAGCTGGTGGTTTTGGGGGAGATGTGTAATGCTGAGGCTCAAAGAAGTGATGGTCTAAAGTGGTATTCGTCCAGGAGAAAGATGCAGTAATTTAAAGATATGTTCTGTTGATGGAAAAATAGAAATTCTACGCACTTGGCTGCAAGAACAGAGGACTGGACCATCCGTCTCACACTTGCAGCCTGCCTGACTGTGCTGTCTTCAGCTGCCTTCATAGCACTGGTTAGGAACTGGCTTCCGTACCATAGAGAATCCAACTGCTGATCCAACTAAAGTCTTGAGCTGAGTCTAGACACATAAAAACTGAACACAGTCAGCGCACAGTCCTTGCTTAATTTCCATCCACTGTGGCACAGGTGAGAGACAAGGACTGGTACAAGGTGGTCCAGAGGAAGAATGTCCACAGAACAGAAAGTTCAACTTTTAAGTGAGCAAAACTCACAGCCCCAAGACATTCCCTGGAGATTTGAGGAGGAGAGAATGTGGGATGTTCAAAGAAATGAGAGGGACACTGATTCCAGGCTAGAAATGACCTAGGGCTGATATTTTCTAGGTGAACAGGTGCCGACAGGTGCTCGCTCTAGTTATTCATGTATTAAATTAACATCTTAGTGCCTTGCTCTAGGATGTACATTAAGTCACTTCTGTGGGCTTGAACTAAGCGTAGCCAAATAAGACATCCTAACTGATCGTTTGGATTCGACGAGGGAAAGAACATTGTGGGAACAAGAAAAGGGGGTTGTAAAATGTGATGTCAAAAGCGAATGTTTAGTGATCTTCCACATTTACGTAGCGGTGGTTTGTTCTGGGGGTATCTGGTGCTGAGTACAAACTGGTTTGGTTCCTTCCCTAAAGCAGAGTGCTGACATGCTGGTTCAGGAGTGCACTGCGTGTTCAACGTAGGCTGGGGGGTGATCCCACCTTACACTTTCTTCTGAGCCCTCGTGGCTTTCAGATGACCCCCGGAGGGAAACTGATGACAGCAGAATGGCATCATGCCATGGAGAACTGAACCAGCTGCTCCTGTCTCTACACTTTAGTTTATGGCTGCTCTCATCTGTGCAGACAGACGAAATAGGAAACCACTTGCTGTGTTTACAGGGGAGCCTGCAACTGTTCCAGTCAGCAAGGTGAAGGGTGGCTTTCAGTTTTGCTTCCCTTGGTCACTGCCTCTCTTCGGAGTATACACTTCTTTTAGTCATGGGCCAATGCTCATATTTTCTTTTACCATAACATGATAAAATGCTTCTCCTTCTACTGCTCGCTCGGTTGCCTATTTTGGCGGGGTTTTTCGGGCATGCTTCAGCAGCCTGCCTGGGGAAAAAGGCATTAATCAGCGTAGCTGGCTGGTTCAGTTTCTCAGCCACGTCTGTGATAATGAGAGAGTCCGTATGCAGGGACACAGGTAGGAAAATCAGCACAGGGAACGTAATTATAAATATCAAATAGTGGGCAGCACTGCACTAATCCCTCCATAAGTGAGGTGATTATGGATTACTAGACATCTGGAATTTTCAAGGTACTAGCTACTGCTCGTCAGTGTAGGCAGGAACATTGTGGGAACTTCCCAGCAGTAAGACCTTAGTGGCTGCACTTGTGCTCTTAAGCACTCCTGAAGGGGATGACTCTTCCAGGGGCTGGGCTTGGCTCTCGAGATGGCTTGAGGTGGTAGGTGACTTCAGTGAATGGAACTGGCTTAGAAGCAGGCATCTAAACATGAAATGTGGTTCTAAAGCGGTGTTTTTTCATGATGGATTTACATTCTGATGAAGAATTTGTATTCTAATTGCAGAGAATTCTATTCTGTATTGCGTGCTACCTTGACCCAGTCATAATGTGCATGCAGTGAGTTTAGAAAACAATTACTGGGATTTTTTACTGGTAATCTTTGACTGCTGAGAAGTTTGTTTCCTGTTTGCCTTTTTCTTTCCTTAGTTGGACTGTGGGTATGCCCTCCATACGGCAGCCAAGGATTGCTTAAGTTCCGTTGTCAGCCAGGACGTCCAAACACTGGCAGAAGGACCAAGAGCAGTTTTCTATACCAGCGAGAATGACCCGGTGAGTTGCTGCCACGATTGTTACTGTCAGACAGCAAGTGCATGAATTCCATCAGTCAGTCTGTGGACGTGCTGGAGCCAGGAGTGCTTACTGGGACTGTGTTCTTCTAGTAAAGGTGAGGGAAGGGAGTACACAGGGCTAATAACAGGTATCCAGACCATGGCCCCCAGCCCAGAGGACAGCGAGCCACGGCCGTGCATCTGCCTGGCTTTAAACAAGACAGGGCTGGTCCTCTGCCCGAAAGCCCCTGGGAACAAGTATTGATTCCCTCTCTACAGCTGCATAGATGAGGTAGACTGTGTATTGTAGAAGCTCAGATGTGGCTTATCTTGTCATCAGACACCATTAATTTCAACTTCAGGGTTATTCTTCCCTGACTAACCTCCCCAAATTGGCTATGAAGGGGGATAAAAAACACACCCAATGACCTCAGCACAGCACAGCTCTCCAGCATCATAATTCCAGCCTCACACTCTCTGTCTCAAGCACAAAATGAAGTGGAATAAATGAATCGAATAAGCCTTTGAGGTGCTTTTCTGCTGCCTCTGTAATTGGAGTCTTTCAATACCGATTCCTCTGGGGTCTCCATGGAAACAGCAGCATGCAGATGATCTTACCCACGTGATGCGAGTGTCTCTATAGATTGCACAGAAGAGTCCAGATGGCAAGGATTGTCCCCACTGTCCTGTGCCTACCATTTATGTTGCCAGGCAACTGGCTTTGGCATTCTGACTTCACGTGCCTGATGTTTGGCGACAACCGCCGTTGCTTATTAATTGATGAGAGCGGCGTTCCTCAGCCCTGCGGTACTGCGGAGCGCAGGCTGCAGCAGGGAGGCTCTGCTGGCTCGCTTCCGCAGCAAGCCCCGCAGCTCTGAATGCACCGTGCTTGTGCACCAGAAAGTCCCATTAAAAATGGATTAAGAAGGCCAGATGAAAACCAGATTTTTAATAAGACTTGAGTTTTTATATACCTTTCCATTAGCAAAACTCAAAGTGACTAAACATGAGGATAAAGATACTGACCCACTTTACAGATGTAGGAGCTGAAGAGTGAAGGAATTTGCCCAAGGTTATGCAGCAAGTCAGTGATGAAACTGAGAATGAAAATGGTCTCTGGAGTATTGCTCTTCTGTTCGAGTCCACAGATAAAACTGCCATGCAGAAACACAGGTGCTGTTAGTCTGTGTCCAACACGTGCAGGAAAACTCTAGGGAATCCAGCCCAGGGTTTGAAATACAGCTCTGCGTGGCAAGAGACTGAAGTCTCTCTTAATAGTTCTCCTCTTCTGTCTATCTCCAAGCAACATCTGCTTACAGCTATTGACTAGCCAGGTTTCTTCATTTTCTTCCTGTTGCTAAGATTTACTGACCAGTAAACACCAGATTGGCAACTCAAGCAGCTTCGAGAGTAGTTTGCTGAAGTTGCCAAATGGTTTCTTCATATGAGTAGCCTGGCAAACCTGTGGGTACCTTGCATCCTGCAGCTGTGCCAAGGTAGACCATACAGTCCAGGACACAGTGACCTGCCTTCAGTAAGGTATGGAATAGGGGCGCAGTTACGGTGGGCTTTTCCCAGTGGAGGCAGGGGGGTGCAGGAGATAAGAGAACAGGCATGTTGCATGCTGGAAGGCTGCAAATCTGGTCTGAAGAAAGAGAGGGAGACTAACACATAGCCAGGATCATGTGAGGAGAGCAGCAGGCAGCCAGGTCAGGGGAGCAGTACTCATCACAACCCTTCTTCCCACCCCCCTCCATTCATTCTGGTCAAACCATTTGTCAGCCAGACTGCAGTGAGCATCCCAGCCCACTCCAGTATTGTTTCATCTGTGCTGGGCCTCAGTAAATCAAGCCCTGGGTCTACACCAAAGCTAATAAGGAATACCAGAAAAGTCTGGATCAGCCCCTAAATCTGCTAAAGCTGGCAGAAATTACAACCACTTCTTTTTCTTTCTGAATAGTAAATAAAACTACTTTTCCCTGGAAGATTATTATGCAAAATAAGGTGTTTTCCTTATTGTTACATTGTAAAGTTGTTACATTCTGATTCCATCTCAGCCTACATGGAAGCAAGAGATTGGGATGCACAAGAATATAGAGAAGGATTTTTTGACTTTAAACCCATGGAAAAGTGCAGAGCAGGCCATGATATAAGCTTCAAAGCTTGGCACAAAAGTTGCTAAAAGTCACAGAGGAAGTACTGCAGAATAGTCCATGTGCTGTCCTCATTAGACAAGGCACAAAACCTGATGACTGGACCAAGAGTAAACAAACATGGGCTTTGCCAGTGTTGTGTGGAAGGAAAATAGAATCGTGAAGGGAAGACATAAGGATGTGTGACAAGGCACGAAACATGGATATTAATTTTCAGATACCAGCAACAACCACTTCTTCGAGCTCATAGTCAGAGATCCTGAAGAAGTCACGATAAATAAATGCAGAATGATGCAAGTCCACAGGAGGAATAACACTGACCACTGATGTCACAACAAGGGACTCAGAAAACAGTTCTCAAGCAACCAGTGCTAGTTAAAAAGGCAAATGGCATATTGGGAATTACTGCTGAGAGAGCAAGGCCAAACCAGAAAACACAATGTCGCAGACTTAAGGAAAGAAATTTCAACCTGTCAGATAACTCAAAGGGGATCGTATTACTGTTACGGTATTGTGGCGACCAGAAGTACGAGTGGACTAATGAAAGGTTAGATAAATTCACGAAGCATAGGGCCACCAGTGCCCACAAAACACAGCGGTTAATATACACGCTCAGGGAATCCCTGTATTGTCTATTGCCAGGGAGGATATCCTTTGTGCTCCTCCGAA